TACGAACACTTCGTACGAACAAAAGTAAGAGAAATTTAGGATAAGAATACGAACATGTTCTTGCATGAGGCCCAATGATACTAAATTTTGAATGGTTGAGAGTCATGCTCAACACTTCAAGGACTAACAGATAAGACTCTGGCATGAGCGGTAGAGGGGGATATGCATTCCTTCTTTAATTTCTAAATGTGCGTTTAAATAAAATGAGCATTAGCATGAAATCAATAGTATTTTGTGAAAGGATCTCTGGTTCTTCACGCCAACAAAGTCCTATCACATAGAACGTGACTCACATTCGGCTGTGAGGAAACACGCCGGCCCTCCAGTCCAGWGTTGCATTCAGAAACACCAGATACCAGTCTGACACATTTCAAATAAGCTGGAGTCATGTTAAAAACTGTGTTTTGATGGAAGCTTCAATATGTTATGTGTGTTTGCAGTGTGAGAGAGGTAACCAGAGCCAAACACATAAAATGATTGATGTTTTATCGGCCAGCTCTGCGTGAGTGCATCTCTGCTGACTAAACAGAGGCTTTTAAACCCTGCATTTTTTATATCGAGTCTGTTCACAGYAATGTAAAAAAAATAAATAAATCAGGAAAAACTCAAAAAAAGTACCCAATTTAGACTGAAACAAGCATTTCCACGTACTTTTAATTGCCATGTTTGATTTAACTAGTTTAAAAAAAATAAAACATCGGTTTTAAAAAAAACACAGCTTTTCTCAGCTTTTACATTCATAGAAAATAATTTGCATTGCGTTGGATATGAACCTACAGAAGAGGATTAGGGCCACTGAAAAAATAAAATTAAAAATAAATAAATTAAAAATAAAAGTCAGAATTCCTTTTTTAAATTTTTTCAGTGGCCCTAATCCTCTTCCATATAAACCAGATGGACTCAGTGTTTTGGGTCTGGGCTTTGTTCGCTGATGCTGCTGAGAAAGGTTTTCGTGCAACCATTCGTTTTGGAGTTTATTAAACACATAAAATGTCTTTTGTGAGTAAACAAGCAGCCCTCATTCATTCCTTCAGAGGAACTCCTTTGATTGTTTAAGGCAGCTCAGGACACATATCAGCCTCTGACTGTGACTGATCAGGTCTCAGTTCATCATCGATGCGTTCACTGTCCACTTGTGAATGCTTGTTGTGAAGGAGGCCCGTGGGGCTGGTGCTCAGAATGAGGCTGGTGTTGCTTCATTGATCAAGGAGCACAATATCATAAAAAGAGATATAAAAAAAATAAAAACACCAACAACAAAACTTTACTTTCAAGCTACTTTAAAAGACTGGAAGTCTTCYTAAAGACTGCTTTTATTCTCACTCCTGGGGCCTCATTTAAAGAACTACGGTATCTTCAATGTTGACAGAAAATCGTTGTCTAACTGGTTGTAACGCTACACTCCGACAAGGAAACATTCCTTCCTCTGAGAAAAGTTTGGCCCTGACAAAATGGTTGTTTTTACTGCCTGTGTGTAAATTTTGAGCTTTATGAAGTCTAAAGGGAATAATCCACTTGCACTGTAAAGAATTAATTACCAGACATAAGATATTACACATCACAATTTATTTTCCCTTTTATAGAATAAGGTCAGAACTTTTTTTTATTTTTTTGCCTCATCAGCCACACTTGTGTCTTTCTGCTCTGCCTTATTTACTGCAGCAAACCTTCTATTTAGTTCCTTGGATATGTTTCCTCACTTTAATCTCCTATCACTGCCAAAAAAAATACTTTTTCCCCCCTCTGATGCAAAATCCTGATTTAAATGTATGTTTTTGTTGCATGGTGTGATGGAAGAATTGCGAGCAAACGCTGTCAGCTGAATTTGATTTGTGCCTAACAGATCACAGCTAGGAAAAATTAAAACATTTTCATTTATTTATCAGTCTTTTCTTTTTTAAATAGCAACATAAGATGTGAAAATATGGATCAGAGACAATTTTTGTTTTTACTCTCTTTAAAACAAGATGTSTCCTGCATGCCACGTGTGGTTTCTCAAATATAACGCGGTTTCGCTGTCAAATTGAAGACGACAGTGCTGATTGCTCTGCTGGAGGGAGTGACGGTGCAGCTCCGAACAGGATGAAGATGTAGCTAATTATTTGCAATAGAAGCGTTACAGCGAGGTCAGGCGACACGCAGACACCTGCCTGACCCGGCTAATTTACAGCCAGGACTGCCCTCGTTTTTGTTCAAGCTAATGATGCTTGCGCAGACCCACATTCCTTCAGATAATAGGAGTTGGTAACTCCCTCGTTTTATTTCTCGCAAGGCGGGAAGTCTCGATTCTTTACAATCCTCCTCACGACTGCACCGTGACACRGTATGCGCCATAAACTGACTTTTGTTTCAAGTCTGACCTCGCTTTTTAGACAGGTTTTTCCTCCAAACGGCGACGGTGCAGCTGCTTGTCTTATTCCAGACCACAGGGATGCTGACATGGGTGGCTTTCTTCTATTAGCAGTCTCGTCAGGTGAATGTGCTTCGTCTTATTCAGATTTTTTTTTTTTATAAGTCAAGGACGGGACCGGCATCACAATTAGCCCTGGAGGAGGGAAGGATATGCAGAATGCAAATGTATGCAAATGTGCATGTTTTAAAGGGATCATTGGAAACACACACAGTCCTCCTGCTTTCTTAACTTAAAGCAGACTAATTTAAATGTGGAGAGTGGGTTGGAATTTATTATTTATTTTATTTTTTTGCTTTCACAGCTTCTTGAGTTGTCWTCTTCATCTGCACTCTTAGCATAAATGAGATGATATAATCTGAGCTTATTTGTCTCTGGATAAAGCACACAGGAGGCATTTTTTGCCGTATTTAAATAATTTTTTATATATTTTTTGATTTATGTGTGTGTTTATTACTGCGAATGTGGTTATTTGTTTTGTCATTAGCAGCAACAGTTTAAAAAGCAGTAAAAAATTAAAACGACAGACGCACAAAACTAATTTCCATGTTCCATCCTGCAGCGAGTACTCTCAATGACATTTCATTTCATGGCCAGTTAATTTAGTCACAGAGAGATGATGAATGATTTTTATCTGTCTGACTGTCCGCAGACAAAGACTGGGATTTATTTGATGCAAGAAGGTAATGAGGAGCCGTTTAATATTCGACTACACTTGGTGAAAGACATTCTGACCATTCAGGAACAAGACGTCATCTGCGTGTCGGGAGAACCTTTCTATTCCAGCGTAAGTGACCCAGTCAATGTCGTGATTCTGTCTGTGCTCGTAGCAGGTCTTCATCAGYCTTCATAATGAAATCAAGTCATTAGAGAGGGATTCACATGCTGATCTTGGTGTGTTGAATGGATCTACTTTGTCATCGTATTTGACACTTTTTTCTTCTCGTAAATAAAAACATTTTCCATAAAAGACGCTCATCTGAGATCAGATTTCATGACCTTTCAACAAGTTAACATTTATTTGTTTTACTGGATAAAACTTTTCAGAGTTATATCTTTGGAAACATTACTACCACTTAAAGTAAGACTGACACTTAAGAATTACTCCTGCACTTCACTTAAAGTAAGACCGACACTTAAGAATTACTCCT